GGGGGGGGGGGGGGGGGGGGGGGGGGGGGGATAGGCTTTTAGTCATCTTCAATTGATCCCCAATTTCAACTCTTTGCAAATTTGCTAACTTATGTTTGCAGTCTTCCGACAATAATACTAAGTGAATATATATGCATAATGTGGGTTATTTCAAGAAAATGTAAAAGATCTAATATTTAAGTTACTATCATAAACGCATTGGGAAAGTCAACTTGAAGTGTGTCAGAAATAAAAGTCAATTTGAAATACTTGGTGGAAACCTATGAAGACCCAGTAGTGGACGCGGATATTTTGAATTAGGGAAACACAATTAAACTTGCAAAAAAAAAATAGTAAAAAAAATTAAATCATTCAATATCTTATTACAATTGTTCTCTATGTATTCTAATGCTTTGATAACGTTTCATAATTACATCATTTTCAATATTGTCAAATATATCATTCTCAATATATGAAATCAAACTATCATTCAACCACTGAAATGAGATTGTCAAAGAATTAGAAGTCATGAAGGAAAGAAGAAACGAAACGAAGATGTATGTGATGATAGATATGAGCTTGTTGTGAATTGTGTTTGCTGATCTTTAGACACAGGTTCAAAGTAAAGCTTACAAATAAAATCACAACTCTTCAGCAAATTGTATAGCCATTCTGAAAGGTTAGATATTAGCAAATTGTCTAGCCATTCTGAAAGGACAGATATTAGCATTAATATTTAGACTGTAGCTGTTTTATTTAAAATTCATCATCTGTGTTTAATGGGAGGCTATTTGCTACATAAGGTTTCTATTCTATAAGAACAAATTCATGTGGTCATAGCATCAATACAGACTCTTCCTATTCTCATACTTATTTCAAACTGCCATTAGGTAACTATCAGTAAAAGTGCTACAAAATTAAGCATAAAGATTTCATAATTGCCTAATAATGCATCCCCTAATTTGAATTTTTGATTAAGCTCCTAAAATAAATCTCACAACTCACAAATCCCAAATCACAAATATATTTTCAAACTCCATGTGATGAGATACAGCAACAGTCAACGGAAGCAAATGCCAAAGCAAAACTAACGAACCGAACGGGAACTGGAAGCAAAGAAAGAATGTTACTACCTTTGGTGGACTGGCCGTGGCGAACCGGTTGGTGAACCCACAACAACGGAAGCAGTCAGCAGTAGAAGGGCCACTTATCTTTGCTGCTTTTGCAGAGCAGACAGTCAGTCAGCAGTGACTAAATTGAATCACAGGAGGTTGAATCCGATGGCAGAAGGGAAGTTTTTCGCAGAAGGGTTTTGATTTTCCAATGGTAAACGAAGGGTTCTTCTGCTTCAATAGAATGGCTTTTGCAAACCTAAATCTGGTTTTTATTTTAAAAAAAAAAAATCAATTTTAAGTTGAAAGTTGGTTGGTTATGTGACCCACCAGTATCCACTGCGGTCCGTCAATGAATGATCCTAAGACATTTAAAAATACTAAAAATTTATCTTCTGAAAAAGTGAGGACATATATATTGTTGCTACTAGTAATCATTTGAAAGCACTTATTTCATTTTTGAAAGACAGGTGAATTGGATTTGAATCTCATAAAATTAAAGTGTTAAGACTCCATAAGAGACCTAAAAAACAATTAAAGTGTTAGATTCTATAACAATGATGGACTGTTATTTTTCAAATATGTGGATTGTTTATAGAATATTATTGATTATACCAGTTCTAGTTGCATCTTTCGAGAGGAGATTCTCAAAGTTGAAGTTGATAAAATCTATCATCGGTCTAACGATGTCATAAGAAAGATTAAATGGATAGACCATGGTGTATATTGAAAAAGAATTTTTAAATCAAATTAATTGTAATAGTGTACATGTTGATTTTCTGTCAAAAATTTTAGAGTAAATTTAATTTAGACATTTTAAAGTTTTTTATATTATTTTTGCAACTTTGAATATTTTTCTTTTGTAAAAATTTTATCATATATTTTTTAAAAAAATATATAGGAACCCCATATTTGAAGTTGGCCTAAGGTTCAAGACCGACCCTAGTGGGTGTTGTAGTGTGAGAGAAAAGTGTCACCTTGGAAGAAGTATTCTTGTTTGCTCAATGGTGTAGGTTGCAATTATAGATTAGGGTTATGCTATGCGTACACAATGGTGTACACCCCCCTCACATGGAGGGGAGCCCGCACGCAATAAAATATGTGTGTGCCCCCCTCCATGTGAGGGGGGGTGTAATGCAGTGTACACCATTGAGTGTACACATAGTATTATTCTATAGATTAATTAATGAATGGACTCTTCGTACTGTGCAACAGTTGACGATGAATCTTCTGTTTGGATAAATGATATACTTATCTTAATAAGAATGGAAAAAAATTTGACACATTGGGATGTTAACGTACTGTGCAACAGTTAACGTGATTTCTCTTTGTAATCCATGTACATGAGTCAATACGTAACCACGTTACGCGCTCTTTAAATATGGGAAAAAATTTCCGTGTGTTTTTACCAAGAGCAAAAAAAATTACTTATTTAACATTCATTGGACTATAACTATGCAAAACTAAAAATTATTTATTTCTTATCAATCGGGGCCATGAAACATTAATGATTTATTTCTTATCAATCGGGACCATGAAACATTCACATAGCAAAATATTAAATATCGGTTCAATAGTGTAGGGTGCGTTCAGCTTGCTGATTTCAGTTTTCAATTTTGCGAAACATACAAAACTTGTTTTGGTCCAAAAATAAGCTTAAACTTAAAATATAATACTCAAAATATATTTTTGACGTTTTGAAGATTTTCAACATGGAAAATAAGTGTTTGAATAAATTTTTATTTAAATAAGATTCTAAAAAATAAAAACTCTAAAAAAAAGTATGATAAATTCTCAAAAAAAAAAAAATTGAAAAAATGATATACAAAATTTTAAAAATTAAGATCCTAAATTTAAAAAAAAAAAAAAAAAAAGTTCAAGCTTAAAAAATATAATTAAACAAACACATAAAAATTCTCAATCCACTTCATTAATTTTATTTTTTATTTTCTATGTTTTGCCAACTCAGTTTGTTATTTGATTTTATTTTACTTTGTAGCTGAAAAAAATATTTATTTTCTCGTAAGCATTAAATAGAGGAAACAAATTAATAATAATTAGCCACTATTTGACAATTATTATTTGGGTAAAATTAAGTTTGAATAATAATTTTTTAAAGAATGTGTGGTTAAAAAGTATGGAATTTCTTTGATTTTACGTGCAGAATATTTTATTATGTGAATATGTGGTTGAAAATGAGTATGTCAAAAAAAGAATTATAAAATAATGATCATCAAATAGGAGCTTAACATTCAACAATCTTCTACATCCCGAAGTATTAAAATGACGTGGATAAAGCTTAGGACGAGATATATAAAAAAATATAGTTTGATTTAATTTTTTATTTATAAAAAAAAAAAAATTGAAAAAATGATATACAAAATTTTAAAAATTAAGATCCTAAATTTAAAAAAAAAAAAAAAAGTTCAAACTTTTAATGATTATTTACATAAAAATTCTAAAAAATATAATTAAACAAACACATAAAAATTCTCAATCCACTTCATTAATTTTATTTTTTATTTTCTATGTTTTGCCAACTCAGTTTGTTATTTGATTTTATTTTACTTTGTAGCAGAAAAAAATATTGTAAAATCACCAACTTTAAAATGTATATATTATTTGATAATATATTAACGTATATAAAATTGTTCTCATTTGTTGAATAATTAAATTTCATGAAATAAAATATCATTATATAATTTCTCAAAATTCTAGATCAAATGTGCTTTCTAATTTTCTATGTTGAGAAACATATTTCAGAATAATAAACAAAACGCAATTTTAGAAATCGTAAAATATACCCTCAAAACATAAAATTCAAAATAAACTCAAAATTCAAAATTAAAATTACAAACCCGTTGTTCACATGATAATTGAGGAAACAAGCAAAAGTCTTATAATAGTTGACAATATTGACATTTCATAGTCAATATCATACTAAAACATTGTAAAATGTATTATTCTTAAACTATTAAATATTTATTTTCTCGTAAGCTTTAAATAGAGGAAACAAATTAATAATAATTAGCCACTATTTGACAATTATTATTTGGGTAAAATTAAGTTTTGAATAATAATTTTTTAAAGAATGTGTGGTTAAAAAGTATGGAATTTTTTTTGATTTTACGTGCAGAATATTTTATTATGTGAATATGTGGTTGAAAATGAGTATGTCAAAAAAAGAATTATAAAATAATGATCATCAAATAGGGGCTTAACATTCAACAATCTTCTACATCCCGAAGTATTAAAATGACGTGGATAAAGCTTAGGACGAGATATATAAAAAAAAATATCAAACTAAATTAAAAAATAAATTTCATTTGTCGTTGAAATTCTTTTTGAGCTGTCTTGAATTCCTTCTCATTTTCTGTTCTTCTGCTTGATAGTTCCACAAATATTATAAACATATTATTTTATTTTAGTTCATTCTGAAAAATATTAGGTGATAATAAAATCATGAGGAATGTATTGAAAATTCACGACTTTGAAATAGAATCAATCAATAACACACGAAATTTTCAAAATTGGATTGGATTGTTCAATTCAATAATATAATTAGTAAGGGTGGACATGGTTCGATCTGAACGATTTATGACAAATTTTCAAAACCAAACTACTTAAAGTGGTTTGAAATTTGAAATAGAATAAATCAATAAAACATGAAATTTTCAAAATTGGACTCGACTATTCAATTCAATAATATGATTAGTAGGGGTGAACACGGTTTGATTTGGACGATTTGTGACAAATTTTCAAACCAAACCACTTAAAGTGATTAGAAATTTTTCCAAACCAAACCACTTCGATGTTTAAATCAAACCAATCCAAGCAACTTTTTTCGGATTGATTCGGTTTAAAACCACGGATTAACAAAGAAAAAAATAATATATATTGAATAATATTAGTCTAAAATTTCATGTTAAAACATAAATAATATCATTAAAAATATTACAAACAAAAGTTCTATAATTCTAATCATTACAATGCAGCAACATGATAAAAACATCATAACATCTCAGTCGATACTAATTGATGCAATCTCTGTGATTTTAACATATGATTGATTCTTCCTTAAAAATAAGAACATAGTATATGAATTCATTAATTATAGTTAAATGATATAAATTAATTAATAAAAGAAAATGAGTCTAATGATTAAATAAGATAATATATTTGATAACTTTTTGTAAACCATCTAGTTTTTCTACCTCATTCAAATATTGACAAATCACTAAAGGTTCCTTCTTACTATGCAACTAATTTTTAGGGTAAATCATCGCTTCGATTATATCTGCACTCAACAAACTCCTAAATGAATCGATAATATAATCACTAGTAGGAAATGTAGACTCGTAAACAATTATGGATAGTTGAATAGTCAACACATCTTTAGCAATTTCGAGAACAATCTTATACTTATTACATTCAATTTCATCTAAAGTAATATGCCGAAAGGCTCATTGCTCAAATATTTAAAATGGCCATTTAAGTAATCTACCAAAACATTCTAACAAATTTACAGTAAAATCTAGAAACTAAGTTAAAATGTAAATAATTAATTGAGCGATATAATTAGAAAATTGAGATGCAAATAAACAAAAAAAAAATTGTCTATTAATAATTTAAGGGAGTCAGGTACAAACTAGAACAAAACAACACAACTATCAATAAATTATGGTAAACAATTGCATATATTATTTATTATTTATTTATTTTTTTTGATAAACTGAATTTAAAAAATTTTAGCCGAACTTCGAGAAAAATATTAGTAGAAGGAAAAGAAATGTGTAAGATTGAATTAATTGTTTATTCAATTATAATGGGTGATCGATGAATATGATTCAGTAGCAGTTGTTCAATATTTCATCAAATTTGAGAATTTTGTATTTGCAATTATAATGACCGATGGGTTTTAGGTATGATTTAAATAATTAAGTGGGATAAATATTGTTAATTTAGGTATTTAGTTTAATTAGATTATGTCTAATATAAATGTACTTTTTTTTATTAGAATGTGTTTAATTTTAACTGAGTTGGATAAAATTTAAATTAATTTATTTTTTGATTTTTTGGTTCAATGGTTTAACTGTTTGAAACGGTCTTTAGAGTTTGAAACCCAAACCAAACTAATTTGAAGTTGTTTGGTTTGGTTCAAAATTAAAACGTCGATGGATCCACGTGAATCCAAACCAACGTTTTTATAAACAAAAATTATGCTACTTTATCATAAAATATGTGCCACAATGATTAACATAATAAGTGTTGGCAATATTTGATTGGATGAAAAATTGACTGTATTTTAAACATTCAATAATACATTGTCTTGTGTCATTATATCAAGAATTATGTCATTCATTATGTCTATGTAGAATAATTGGAAAAAAAATTGTTTCGGTTCGATTTTGCGATTTGGTTGATTGGTTGTTCGGTCCTAATGATTAGTGGAAAAAAAACCACCTTCAGTTGCATTTCTTTAATATATGAATAATGCTCATTGTACAATGTTGGGTTACAACCTTTCACAAGGGAGATATGGCCCATTATTTTTTTAATCGCGGGGCACACCTCTCTTGTGAGAGGCTGTAACTCAATGTTGTAATACATGTATTGTACATGTAGTATTGTTCTTAATATATATTCGAAATTGAATCCGATATAAGCGCCCGATTGCCCTGGCGACTGCACACACGTGTTTGTATTCTCTATTCTATAATGAATTGGCTCCCCAAATCACCGTCCATTCGTCTATAAATCTCTCTCTAGGGTTTTATCACAAATTACGCAATTCATTTAATTGCCAATCGATCCCAGTGTTGCATTATATGATACCGAAGCTAAATTTCAACATTTTTATTCCTTGTATAATTATTTCAAAAATTCTCGTTTTCAATTTTTATGAGACTAATTGTTTCAAAAATTATCCTCCCTATTTAATGCTCATAATTCACTGAATTCAACAGTGCTTTTAATTCATCAATGTCACCACTAAATCTATCCAGAAAAACAAAATTTGCTTTTGTAGTGAAGGTTAAATTAACAATCTTTCGTGATCGTTGTTCACGTCAACGTTTTCATCCTCGTCCTAGTTAATGGCTGCACCACAGGGGGGGTGTTGGTGGTGGAGATGGAGATGGGGGCCCGGATGTTGAATAAGGATGGGGAGAATACAGAGTCCCCCAATGGGAAGACGTTCAAGTCGGAGAAGTTCCCGCTATCATGGTGGGAGTTTGTTGTTGCTTTGGGAGTGTTCTTGGTGTTTCTGACCGGGTTGTTCTGCATCTACCTCACCATGCCAGCAACAGCATATGGGGAGCTCAGGCTGCCCCGCACCCTTTTTGAACTTCGAGTGATTAAGTATGTTTTAGTAATTTTTAAACGTTCAATTTTGTTCTTTGGCTAATTTATTAATGTAGTGGTTTTGATCTCTTTTATATTGATGTTCACATTTAAAATTTACAATCGCGCTAGATGTACAGAAATAATCTTCCAGAAAAGCACCAGATGAGCTGGCAACCAATCCATTTTAAAAAAGAAAAAATACAAATGAAGTCAAACCAGCTAACACGTGAATTTAAAACATCACCTAACCCAAATGACCCCACTAACTTTCCTTCCTTCACTTTACCTTTACCTTTCTCCACTTCGAGCAAGAGAACCAGCTGCGACTTCCCATTAAGTCCCCACATACCCAAAACTTCTAGCAAGAGAACCAGTTGCGACTTCCCATTAAGTCCCCACATACTCGAAATCATTATCACTGTAGCCGGTGCTTTTGTCAACGCCACCGACCCAACACATTACCAAATTCGTGGCATTATAGGAAGGTAAGAATTTTTTATTTCGACGAAGATTTGTATTTGACAGTTGAAATGACGAAAATAAGCATTTCATTGAACGAAAAATAAGATTTGTTGGCTGTTTGAAATAGTTTTGTTGGGAAATTTCAAGTTTGGACTTGTAATTAGTGTTTTATGTTTTGTTCAGATTTGTTGGCTGTTTGAAATTGTTTATTTCGGTAATTTCAAGTTTGGACTTGTAATTAGTGTTTTACGTTTTGTTGAGATTTGTCGGCTGTTTGAAATATTTTTTTTGGGTAATTTCAAGTTTGGACTTGTAATTAGTGTTTTATGTTTTGTTGAGATTTGTTGGCTGTTTGAAATTGTTTATTTCGGTAATTTCAAGTTTGGACTTGTAATTAGTGTTTTACGTTTTGTTGAGATTTGTCGGCTGTTTGAAATAGTTTTTTTTTTCGGTAATTTCAAGTTTGGACTTGTAATTAGTGTTTTACGTTTTGTTGAGATTTGTTGGTTGTTTGAAATTTTGAGGATGCAGTCGTGAATGTTTCTAGGATTTTGGACTCATGGCCTGATGATAACATGAACTTGTAACTGGTGTTTGTTTCCCATGTAGGATGAGGGGCAGGAATTATGGTGTTTGTCACAGTTGTAGAAGCACATATCACTCGTTCGAACAGTGCAATAGCAAACGCCGTTGTCCGTGGTGTGTAGATGGTATCCAGAAATGTTTCGAGGTTAAAAAGGAGGGCAAAAACAAAGGACGTCCATTCAAAACTTGTAGTGTTGATTGTGGATTCTTTGACTGAGTAAAAGCTAATGAAGCAAGCGAAGGGTCAAATACTGACAATGAGGCAGTTGACAATTTGCCAAGCATTCGACCACCTAGCTCGAATAGCTGATAAACGAAACGTTGAGATTTCGTTTAATGTCACATTCCGCAAGGGCAAAGAGCCCTCGGACGGTAATGGAAAATGAAGGGAGTCGGCACGCTCGGTTGTGTTCGTTATTGCATTGTGCTAGTCACGTTAGTATTGGCGTCCCTAAATGGTCATGTAATTCAGTAGGCAGATTTTGTGTTATGAATTCATTATGGTATGACCAAATGAATCCATTTTCGTATGTATTGATCGTGAATTGGAAGAATTGCATTCTGAATTTTAAGAATCCATTTTGTTGTGAACTTCAGTTACAATTGTGGATGTTGGTGGTGCATACTGTAATGAAAATTCAGAAATTGGTAATTGTGTTTTTGAGGATGCAGGTGTGACATTTAATGGTGCTATATAGTGAACTAAATGGATTCTAAAACATTTACTGGTGCTATTTAGTGGTGTTATATAGTTGAACAATATATAACATGTTGCATCTAAAACAGAAACACAGGAAAAAAACAGCAAAATACCATCTGTCAACTTAAAACCAGCCATGAACACATAATCTCTGCACATAAAACCAGACATGAACACATAATTGAAGCACATAAAATCAGCCAGTAACTAAACATACCGACTTAAAAATCAGAAAATCTATTACATATAATTCACGCACACAAAACCAACCAGACACACAAAATTACTGACTTAAAAAATCAGAAAATCCATTACATTAACACGCATAATTTTCAAACCCATGGGGACAATCCATTACTACAAATCTAAACTACAAATCTGCATATTCGGACTAGTCTTGCTTCTGATTTGTTGACGTTGACGAGAAGACATTTGAGGTCAGCCAGTGTTCCGGTAAGGCATGCATGCATGCTTGCGTCACCCTACAATAAGGAATCAATTAAATCTTGCACTAATTGAGGGCTACGTTTACTAACCAAGGGCTAAGTTTACTAACCGCCAAAAGTTGTGAGTACGAAAAAGATGTGGGAAGACATTGTTGTGGAAATGCTTGAACAATGGGTGGAAGAGATGGCCTCTTGCTTTTCGTTGAAGTTGACGTAGCCTGCGCACGAAAAAAATATTACACATCAAATGTAATGGAGTAAAGTGTTAGGCGTGAACAAGACAGATCAACATACCTTCGCTTTTTTTGAAGAGGATTCCAACGGGCTTTTTCGTCGAAACTTCTTCGGCGCGCCCTTTCTCGTCGACAATATAGGATCCCGTATGCTTCCGCTCACATTGTTCTCGACTTCATTGCGTTGTGAGATGACATTACTACCATTTCCTAACTTTCCCGTACTCAAATCCTATTTTTGATTATATATCCACTCCTTTATGGCTAGAGATCTCACTTCATCATCAGCAACAAGGTTTGCAACCTCTGCAAACGATTGACACATATCGGCGTATCGTAACTGTGCAGGCGTACCAATCCATCATACGTAACTGCAACCCTGGTATGTGCTCTAAAGACATCTCTCTTCCATCTTCGTAGTATATACCGCTCCGGCAGTGCCGTAACATCATTATGGATCAGCACGACTATAGCATGTCGACACAGGATTCCCTGAAATTCAAACAAGTGGCAACTGCAAACAATTATACAAGATTCTCTCTTAAATAAGATGAAACACTTTTTAATTTTCCGTCGTTCGTCAACCATGAAAACCTCCCATACTTCGTACATAGTCCCTAAAGTTCCCTCCGTAGTAGAAATGAGATCGCAGTACACCTTCCCAGTGAGCTCGGCTTGAACTTCCCTAAACTTCGAAATTGTGTAACATTTCTGATACTGCTTCTCCATTTCAAAGGTTGTCGTACAAGGCACCATTTGTGAGTATGACTTAAAGTCGGCTTGAAACTCCTTCTCAACCTTATTCCTCAGTGCACGTTCATATTGTTCAACAAATTGCTTGAGCGAGGTCTTCGAGTGAACATACCCATCGAAAAATGCATTCATACTCTCACTTCGCTGAGTTGTTGACATCCCTGCCCAAAATGTAGTTTTCAAATAGCAAGGAACCCACTGACCTCTGTTATCAAACAATCCCAACAACCAATCATTACTTTGCAACTCAAACGTGTCGATCATCACTCTCCAACCTTCTTCAAATTCCTCAACGAACTGCGAATCATATACTAATCCGTGTAACATCGAAAAAATGGAAGCTTTATCAATGTGATATCCAAACTTTTCAGGCAACTTTTTCAAAATATGCCACAAACACCATCTATGCCTCGTATGTGGAAAAACAATCTAAATTGCATTTTGTATGGCCCTATCTTGATCTGTAATGATTCCATGAGAAGCTTTTCCATTCATGTACTGTAGCCATGTCCTAAATAGCCATACAAAAGTCTCTGTGTTCTCGTTGAACAACAAACCACAACCAAGTAATGTAGATTGTCCATGATGATTAACGCCAACAAAAGGAGCGAAAGGCATATCGTACTTATTAGTCAAATAAGTGGTGTCAAATGTGACAACATCACCGAACTCCAAGTACGCTTGCCTTGACCTATTATCTACCCAAAATACATTCTTTAGTCGACCCTCATCATCTACATCGATACTAAAATAGAATCCTGAGCACTGGGCTTGCATTTTGGAAAAGTAGGCTTGTATCGCTGAGGCATCTCCTTCGCCTAGTCTTAATCGTCTTACTTGTTCAACATAATTTCGGCAATCCTTTTCAATACAAGTCATAGATTCATATCCACCTGCTTCGACCACTGCAGAGTTGAAACTTTTGTGCAACGGAATTCTTGCAATATCATAAACTACAAGCTGTCGTAAGACATGTGAACTTAATTCTCGATTGCAGCGATACGAACTCGACTAC